CTACAAAAAATAAAAGTTAGTTGGTTATGATGGTGCATGCCTGTGGTCCCAGCCACATAGGAGGCTGAGGGAGGAGGATTGCTTGAGCCCAGGACGTTGAGGCTGCAGGCAGCCAAGAAAGCATCACTGCACTCCAGCCTGGGCAATAGAGCAAGAACCTGTCAAAAAAAAAAAAAAAAAAAAATCAAAAGGTTTCCCTGGCTACAGTGTAGGATGGGAGTAGAAGAACCAGAAAAACGGAGAGGCCAGTGAGGAGACCATGGCAGTGTCCACTCTGCGGATGCTATGATGTGGCCGGGATGGAAGGAAGCAAATGGGCACGAGGGACATGTGGGAGGCCAGAGTGACAAGGCCACGCATGGGCTGGCCGTGGGGGTGGGAGCGGAAGGGGTCAGGGCAGCCCCAGGCTTCCAGGCATCCACCCCCTGGATTGACTGCAGGTGCTGATTGGGGAGGGAGGGAGCGCAGGAACGGACCGGCAGGGTGAGTCGGAAGTGCCTGGCTTCTGGGAGGCAGTTGGATGTGCCCATCTGGAGATCTGGAGCTCGAGGGAGAGGAGAGAACGGGGAATGGAGACGCGGGGCCTCAGCATGTGCACAGCAGTGGAGTTGAAAGCCATGTGTGTGGTGAGCTAGTTGAGGGAGTGAGAAGGAAGAAGCCCAGGACTCAGCCCTGGCAGAACGCCACTGTCTCGGGAGTTGGCAGAGCCCCCAAGGGTCCTAGGGCAGGGGCGGTGGACAGAAAAGAATGCCAAGAGTGGCATGATCACAGCGGAGCGTGTGGTTTCAGAACTGAGTGTCCGAATGCGCGGCGCCCATGAGGCCAAGTGCTCAAGGGAGTTGAGGGGAGGATGGAGAACGTGAGAGAGATGGCCAAGCATGGTGGCTCACGCCTGTCACCCCAGCACTTTGGGAGGCCGAGGAGGGTGGATCACCTGAGGTCGAGAGTTTGAGACCAGCCTGGCCAACATAGTGAAATCCCATCTCTACTAAAAATACAAAAATTAGGCCAGGTGTGGTGCTTCACTCCTGGAAACTCAGCACTTTGGGAGGCCGAGGCGGGCGGATCACAAGGTCAGGGGCGTGGGGTTGTGGCACCCACTTAAAACTGCCCTGAAGAACATTCCTGCTTCAATCAGCAGGGCGTCACCTCAGGCCAGTGCACCAGGTTCCCAGCCCTCAGGTATCATCTGATTTCACCTGAGGCACTCACGTGACCTTTTCATGGCTCTTCCCTTTGTCACCTCAGGAGAGGAAGGATTCCATGATTTTTATTCCCCTCCTTGCTGGGTAAGAGAGGAAGGGAATAAACAGAGGGAGAGGGCTGGGTGTGGTGCTTCACGGCTGTAATCCCAGCACTTTGGGAGGCCAAGTGGGGAAGACCACTTGAGCCCAGGAGTTTGAGACCAGCCTGGGCAACAAAGTGAGAGCCTGTCTCCAAATAAATTTAAAATAAAATAAAGAAGAGAGAGTGACCAATTTCTTTTCTTTTCTTTTCCTTCCTTTCTT